TGGTAGAAAGGTTCAACTAAGGAAAGTGCAGGCAGCCACACTTAGTGAGGACAGAAGAAGTGGATAATAACTGGGTGTAGCCCTGCCAGCCACAAATATTGAGGGACAGTGACATCACTGAGACTGGGAGATGCCTTTATCATCATTCCCTACATTGTACAGTAGACATTTATATACATGTATTCTCCACGAAAATATGCACTGCAAGGCAGTGTGTGTGTGTGTGTGTGGGGGGGGTGGGGGGTAAATTCTCTCCTGTTAATACAGTTGAAGAAACAAACAAAAAACATAAGTGAAACTCCTTCCCTTTGGAAAAGGCCCATTTCCCAAAAGGGGCATGTCTATATTTCTTCCAGAATTAAGTTGTGTACCAATATGTATCACCTCAAATTTTAAAAATGCAGGAGGAAGCACTGTTCGTGACCTGTTGGCCGTGCTGTGGCTAACGGGTTCCATTCCAGTGCTACAGCAGCCCCACTGCCACTACACTGACCGCCTGATGGTGGCTCTCAGTTTCAGGTCTTGGAGACAAGCATGGGGGGAGGAGGGGGTGGCAGGGCAGGAAAAAATATATATATTGCAGCCCTGGCTGGTGTTGTTCAGTGGATAGAGCATCGACCTCTGAACCAGGAGGTCCTGGTTCAATTCCTAGTCAGGTGCCACGAGAACTGCCTGAGCTGTAAGGCAGGTCTAACTCAGCTGGGGGCCTCGTGCTCGCCAATCACACCTGCAGCAACGGTGAGCGGGGCCTGGTACCTGGCACCGCAAGGCAGGGACCCCCACGGCACCCCATCTGACTGGGCTTCCCTTTTTTCTCCCCCCGCAAAAAAATAAAAAATAAAAATGCAGGAGGATCTTTCCAAGAGCAAGGTGGGATGAAATGACTCTTGTGGATGTTGAGGGACTGAAACTAGATCTTTTTTATTTAATATATCTTATTGATTTTTTACAGAGAGGAAGGGAGAGAGATAGAGAGTTAGAAACATCGATGAGAGAGAAACATCAATCAGCTGCCTCCTGCACATCTCCTACTGGGGACGTGCCTGCAACCCAGGTACATGCCCTTGACCGGAATCGAACCTGGGACCTCTCAGTCCGCAAGCCGAGGCTCTATCCACTGAGCCAAACCGGTTTCGGCTGAAACTGGATCTTAAGGTGAAAACAGATGCAGCCAGTCAGGGAGGAAGAGGGAGGAAGTTGCAGTGGAGAGAATGGTAATTAAGACATGATTACAGAAGACTGAGTCAGCAGGGTAGGTGCAACCATCTTAAAAGGATTTTGAATACTTAGATAGGTAGTTTGGATTTAATTCTCTAGCCAAGAGGGAAGAAGAAGAGAGGAGCATAATCAGAACTAGGCTTTATATATATGAATAAAAACTATTGAATAATATGGAAGAATAAATTAAACAGGAAGAACACAGGATACCACAAAATTTGCAGTTAAAAGAGGTGGGGAAGGACAGCTGGATTATGGTAGAAGAAATGAAAAGGGAGAGACATTTTGAAGGAAGAATTAGATGTATGATTTGATAGGAGGGGTGGAACAGAATGAGAAATTGATACTGACTCACTCGAAATCTTCAAATATTGGTGACTGGGGAAATAATATACAATGGATAAAAACAGGGATCTTATACATGAAAGACAAGTTAGCTTGTGTAGAGGGAAGATTATCTCTGAGATTAAGTTTAAGGTGTTATCCAAATATTCTTTGAGTTGTAAGTGCATGGGCTGAAACTGAGGACAAAGGTTATTAGTGCTGGAGGTAATGATGTGGGCAAGGTCCTCAAATCCCAAGAATGGGAGAATTTTCTGAAGACCAAAAACAAAAAGAAAAGCAGAAGACCAAAGATTAAACCTTAAGGAAATTTATTTTTAGGGGGTTTAAGAAGAGAAATAGACCAATAAAATGATCAGTGGGGTAGAAGAACCTGGAGTTTTATTAGAGCCCACGAATGAGAATTTCCATAGAGAGGAGGCAGTAATGAGCTGTGTGCTTTGGAAGTCCAAGAGCGTGAACAAAGACAAAAGGTTAGTGGATTTTGCCATTGGGGACCATTAGGACCTTTCCATTTCAGCATTTTCGTGAGTGTAGTTCCGTCACAAGTTAAGATAAAAACCAAACCCCTTACTACAGCTCTCACAGGGCTCCACAAGATTGGACCAACCTCTTCTTGCTACTCACCAACTACATGGGCTTGTTCTTCCCCCCCAGCCCCCATTGATTTTAGAGAGAGGAAGGGAGAGGAGGGAGAGAGAAGTATTGATGTGAGAGAGAAACAAATCTATTGCCCCCCACACGCACCCTGACCGGGATCAAACTTGCAACCTAGGTATGTGCCCTGACTGGGAATTGAACCGCCATCCCCACCAGCTTTTGGTGTTCAGGATGATGTTCTGAGCCACACAGTGGCCAGGGGGATGGGCTTCTTGTGCCACACACACTCCCAGCTTGTGGCTTCCCCTCCCCTGTACTTGCTGTTACTTCTCTCTCTAATTATCTCTACCCCTTCCCTCCAGCTGGCTCATGGGCCTTCTCCAGCACACCGTTCAGATTTATCCTCCACAGAAAGACCTTCCTTGTATGATGAAAAAGCCACTACCACACTCCTTTGTTATTCTGTATCCCTTTACCATGATTTTTATTTTTCAGAGTTGTACTGACTTTCAAGGGCTGCCACAACACATTACCACAAATTGGATGGCTTAAAAGAACAGAAATTTATTCTCTCATGGTTCTGGAGGCCAGAAGTCTGAAATCAAAGTGTTGGCAGGGTTTGTTCCTTTTGGAGGCTTGAGGGAAGGAGTGTCTGTTCTGTACCTCTCTCCTAGCTTCTGGTGTTTGCTGGCTTGCAGCTGCAGTACTGCCTATCTCTGTCTCTACCTTTACATGGTGTTTTTCCTATGTGTATCTTTTTGTGTGTCCAGATTTCCCTCTTATAAGGATGCCAGTAATTGGAAGAGGACCCACACTAGTTCAGTATGATCTCACCTTAATTTGATTACACCTGCAAAGATTTTATTTCCAAACTAGAGGCCCAGTGCACGAAATTTGTGCACTGGAGCTGGGGAGGGGGCGGGAGGCGGTGCCTCAGCCCAGCCTGCGCCCTCTCCCAGTTGGACATCCTTAGCGCTGCCACAGAGGTGAGAGAGGCTCCCACCACTGCAGCTGTGCTTGCCAGCCATGAGCCTGGCTTCTGGCTGAGTGGCGCTCCCCCTGTAGGAGCACACTGACCACCAGGGGGCAGACGCTCAACACAGGAGCTGCCCCCTGGTGGTCAGTGTGCATCATAGTGACCAGTTCCGCCGTTTGGTCAATTTGCGCATTTGCCTTTTATGATATAGGATTATTATATAGGACTAGATTGAAATCTAGTACATGACTGAAATCCTGCGAGGAGGCACCCCGTGGGCTGCAGCAAAAGTCAGGCCAGGCCGCCACCACAGGTGGCCGGGACCCACGCCTGACTGGTGCTATGGGCGGCCAGGACCACGCCTGACTTCCGCCCCAGGTCCCCCCTGCCTGTGTCCACTCCGGGGCTGCCCAAGCTGGCACAGTGGCTCGGCCAGCCCCAGGCCCTCCCGCCCCCGACCCCTCTGCCTGTGTCCACTCCGGGCTGCCGGAGCTGCTGCACTGGCTGGGGCAGGCTCCTCTGTCTCCACTCTGGGCCTCACCTGCGTGTGCAACCACCTCCTGCCTGGTCATCCTGTTATGGTGTCCCGGCCTATTTTGCACATTACCTCTTTATATATTAAGATAAGGAAAGTCACATTCAAGTTATCAGCAGTTAGGACTTCAACATCCTTTTGGAGGGGGCACATAAAGAACAGATAATATTATGTTACGTATTTATGTACTTCTTTGTGTTCTTTCCTCCACTGAAATGTAAGACTTGAGGCCACAACCGGTTTTGTTCAGTGCTGTCTGGCTCCTGCCCCTGCGCCTGGGATGCTCAATGGTGGTTGAGTGAATGACTCAATGAAATTGGCCAAATGAAGTAAAGGAAGACTTGGATAATGAGAAAATGGGGAAAGCTGGTTTAAAAGTCCTTTTGTTTGAGAAAGAGTTGGAAAAGAAACAAAGCAATTGTTAAGTCAACTTAAAGGACTTTAAAGAGTGTTGCTTAGGCATTACTTGTAAGCTATTTTTTCCCATGAGTTAGTTGCCAGAGCCAAGGGGACTGTCTCTCAGCTCTGCAAGAGAAGAAAAAATGAATTTAGCCGTTTCTCCAGGTATAGGAGAACTGACTGACTCATGATAACCAAACTAAAAAGAGATGGATTTATAGGCCAGAATGCTATGTAATTATTAAGGATGTCTCAAGAACAAGGACTGATTTTTCTCTGACAAGGGCAAGTACATTCACTAAAGATAGCACTTAAGGTTGCTTGATAAAAACAAGTTTAGAGGCAGCAGAGTTTGATATTTCTCAAGGGATATCCCATCAAACAGTGGTAGCTAATAGATTCCCTTTTTTAAAAATATATTTTATTGATTTTTCACAGAGAGAAAGGGAGAGGGATAGAGAGCCAGAAACATCGATGAGAAACATCGATCAGCTGCCTCCTGCACACCCCCTACTGGGGATGTGCCTGCAACCAAGGTACATGCCCTTGACTGGAATCGAACCGGGAACCCTTCAGTCTGCAGGCCGATGCTCTATCCACTGAGCCAACTGGTCAGGGCAGATTCCCTTTTTAGGGTGAGTTTTCCAACTACTTCCCAAGGCCCACCTCCAAAGATTCTGGTGTAGTAGGTTTGAGGTCTTGAGGATCACTTGGGAAGTCTTTCGGGTAGTTCTCATGATCAGGCAAGTTTGGAAGACATTGCCTACAATTGTTCTTGTGGCAAATCCTGGATTGGAATTCTACCTAGGGGTCTCAGCCATATCTACTGGGCTCCCACAATTTGTTTTAGAGTAAAGGTGTGAGCCCTTCTGCTTAGCAGTTTTCATACTTAGGAGACTTTCCTTCAGTAAGCTCAGCATATGCTTTAATGACTCAGCTATTGAAACAAGGCCATTTGGATATTTTTCTTCTCTTAGTGTGGACAGCTGAAATGAGCTTGGTTGTTAAAATAAGCACCTTTCCTATTTGAATTGTGTTTCATAGTAACTAAATAGTGGATGTGAGGAATTGATTCCTGGTAGAACTTTAGTTAATAAATACAGAAAGAATGACAAAACGTGTATATTACCATATTGCAATCCATAATGGAATAATGGATCATCAATGACAGCTAAAATCATCAGGTCAAAACTAGGGGGAACTTTATACCACATGAAACAGATTGACAGCACCTGAACCCACTGACCAGAACATCACCAGGACAGACACTGCATGTGCATCCTGATATGATGCAGTAGGAAACAAGCATCTCTTAAGTATCCTTGTAAAAAAGCAAACTCAAATTTAAGTAAGTCTCTAGTCCACCTGCTTATAGAAGATACAGGGAATAGAGAAATGTGTTAAACCACATCTCATGTATACAACCATTCAAATCCAAAATATGGGACAAGGTACAGCCTTGCTGCTCTCAAAGTGTGGTCTGTAAACTAGCATCTCAAGAGAGCTTATTGGAAATGCAGATTCTTAAGCCCGCCCAAGGCCAACTGAATCAGAATCTGCAATATAACAAGGTATCCAGGTAATTCATATGTGCCTTCAAGTTGGAGAAGCATTGTATGTACAATGATGCCGGGTTTTAAAATAAATAAATGACAAGAGAAAAGCGGGAGGGAACTCTTAATTTGGTATGGGAGGGCATATTGCTTTTTGAGCTTACAGGCTTGAATGATAACCTTATCAATGGGAAAAGTGATTTTAAAAGTGTGTATTAGGCCTGGCCTGTGTGTCTCGGTTGGAGCATGGTCTCTCAACACTGAAAGGTGGAGGGTTCGATTCCTGGGTGGGGCACATACCCAGGATGCCGATTCTATCCCCACCTGGGAGGCTACCTGTCCATGTTTCTCTCTAATATCCATGTTTCTCTCATTTTCCCTCTCTCTAAAATCAATAAAAAAACAAACATATCCTTGGGTGAGGTTAAAAAATATATTTACAGTGTGTATTATAATCTTCACTACAGTAAAATGCAGAGCTGTGGTGAAAGATCCTTAGGGTAGGAATCTGTTAAAGCGGTGCCAGCTCAGTTGTCACATTATAATGTAATCATGTTTTAGACAATTCAGACATTCCGTATAGGACATTGAGTACTGTGATATCTCTACTGTCCCCATAGTTGAAGAGAGTACAGTTTTATCCTACCTTTAACAATGTCAATTTCAGGTGGTTTTCTCTGAACTTATGTTTTTTGCTTGGACGGACCTCTTGAGAGTCTTATTGAGCCCATTCCCATTTCTAAAGGGAGGACACTGAACTTGATATCAAGGATCTTTTCTAACATTCAAATTCTAGGATTAAAGAAATAATCATTTACAAGTTTTTGTTGTTGTTAATCCTCACATGAGGATATTTTTCCATTGATTTTGAGAGAGAGAGAGAGAGAGAGAGAGAGAGAGAGAGAGAGAGAGAATAACATTGATGCGAGAGAGGTGCAGCAATTGGTTGCCTCCTGCATACGCCCTAATCAGGGCTGGGGATTGAGTTTTCAACCATAATATTATGCCCTTGACCAGGAATCCAACCCACAACCCTTCTTTCTGAGGGCCTATGGGTCCACTGAGCCAAACAGGCCAGGGCCATTTACAAATTTAAAGTATGTATGACTAATAGTCTTCAAGTTGAATGAAAAAGCAGTGTCCTCTCTTCATCAGCCTGACCTTACCTTGTCCATACTTTTACATAGATAAGAGATCTTGTTGCCAAACCACAGAGGGGTGGAGAAAATTGCATCAACTGGCTGTGCAGTGGGTGGGGCAGCCTCTTGAAGGAGACCCAGCATCAGTCTCCACCCAGGGCCTGGGCGAGGTAGTTGAGGCCATCGTCAAACATGACTAGATAGATGTGAGGAGTTCAGGAATCCGTTGATCACATGCTTATTTCTTTAAACATTTTGCCTTCCAAAAGTGTTTAAATTGGCCATGCTACTTAAGGGATGGAGTGTATTTTGCTTTAAAATGGTTGGTTTTATTTTTCATATGATCCAGTAAATCTTACTCCTTAATTTTCAGAATTTTCCCACATTTCTGGTATAACTAGTTCCAATGGCTGGGAATAAAGGAAGAGGACGTGCTGCTTATACCTTCAATATTGAGGCAGTTGGATTTAGCAGAGGTGAAAGGTTACCTGATGTAGTATTGAAACCACCCCCACTATTTCCTGTAAGTACATTAACAATGAACTCTCACAGTGTGCTTTTTCATGTTTCAGAGAAAATTAAAATTCTATATACGATATCATTATGACATCCTTAAGTGTAAGAAAGCAGGAACATGTTTCACTTACTTTTGATTTAAATATTTCTACTGTTCTTCCCTGAACCTTTTCTAGTTTTCAGATTGCTTTCTCAAAATACAGAAAACAAAATTATATACATACATTTCCATGAATATATTCAGTCCTGTGTGAACGAAGAAATATTTTTTAAAATTCATTTATCTTAGATTGCTGTTATTGATATGTTATATTATTAAATAATATTTTTTAAAAGCAAAGGTTTTACTGTGGTCCTCAGTTCTCATTCTGCCAGACTTTGACTTAATGATTTTCTTTTCACCTTGCATCTATAGAATTTAATTTTGCTCCCTACTTTACCATTTGGCCTTTTTTTCCCCACTGAACTTTTTCTTTTGCTTATCTCCCTATTTTGTTAAAGCAAATTTAAATTTTGTTACTGTTTCTCAAACGGTAAGTGCTTCTATTACATGTAGTGTTGCTTTTAAATCTAATGAGTATGCTGCAGGCTTAATTGGCATTATGTCTAATGCTTTCACTTTATAGTTAGTCTAAAAAGTAAGCTTACATTTCCAGATGTGCATGTGTTGCAGTATAAAACAATGAAAAAAATCATAAATAACCAGATACACCTTCCAGGAATCTTTTTCCTATTCCAAAAGGAAAAGTTCTTGTTGAAAGATGTATGGTAGTAGAGGACCTGGGCATGTTTATCTGGGGAGCTGGACATCTCACATAAGGAGTCTCTACTTTTTGCTCTTGATGTTTTTTGCCTTTCCAATATTCACTACAACCAAAAAAACAAAGATAAATATCTCAGATATAGGTATAATGCCACTTTTTGTTTATTTCTTTTAAAACAAGGCTCTTGTCCATGTGTGGGATTACTTCTAAACACTAGAGCTATTAGTATACACTGTTGTTTTATACATGGAATAAAACTGGCGTTCCTTACTACAGGCTAGGAGGCTGTCTGATCTGGCCTTTTCGATGTCTCTCTGACCCTTTTCCTACCTCACTGTTCTCTCTCCCTGGCCTCTTTGTTCCTCAGGCATTTTCCTCTGCTGGTTTCTCTGGCTGGAGCCATCTGTTCCCAAAGTCTTTGCATAGATGGCTTCCTAATTTTATCTAGCTCTCTGCTCAAACGGGATTTCCCCAAGGGGTCATGCATGCTTATCCTGTGTAGAACAGCCACCTCCAACCTCCATGGACTGCCGTCACCTTTTCCTCTACCCAGCTTCATTTTTTTCATAGCACTTATCACTACCCAAAATTACATATTAACTCATTTGTTTACTTATTTTATTGTGTTATTCTCCCCTAGAATATAAGCTTCCTGAGGGCAAGAACTTTGACTAGTCATCATGGTATATCCTTTTGTCTAACCATGTCTGGCTTATAGTAGTCACTCAATAAATAGTTGTAGAATTAATGGATAAATTTGGAGTAAAATTTTGAAAATGTATCCTACACTTAGCCTCTGAAACCAGAAATGTCTTTACTGTATGCCCTGAGGATCTACTTTTTTATGAATATGTGTGTGTGCATGTAACTTTTAAAAACTGAAGATGTAATTTCAAACTCCTGCTTTACATGTTCTGTGGGCTTACAGATTGTTCACTTCTTCAATTCCTTCACTGTAAAATGGGAAATATTGATGATACTTTAAATGAGATCACAGCCGAAACCGGTTTGGCTCAGTGGATGGAGCGTCGGCCTGCGGACTGAGGGGTCCCAGGTTCGATTCCGGTCAAGGGCATGTACCTGGGTTGCGGGCACATCCCCATTTGGGGATGTGCAGGAGGCGGCTGATCGATGTTTCTCTCTCATCGATGTTTCTGACTCTCTATCTCTCTCCCTTCCTCTCTGTAAAAAATCAATAAAATATATTTAAAAAATAAATAAATAAATGAGATCACAGATGTTGAATATTGAGTACATCCTAGTCCTAGTAACCACTTGCTAAATGATAGCTGCTACTATTACTTTTTTTATGCTACTGCTCCAACCGATACTACCACCACTGTTGAGGTTAATAGAAAATGATAGCAGTTACTCTCATTTGGGTGCCTTGATCTTTAAAATATGAAATCGCAGTAAACAAACTGTATAGAAAAATGATTATTTTGTCATCAGGAAATTAGGGCCAGTAGAAAAATTAACCATCTTTCCTACCTCTAAAACAGTGATTCCCAAAGTGGGCGCTGCAGCAATCCACGGGGGCGGTGATGGCCACAGGTGCATTTGGGGGCATATATCTTTCTGTTTAATTGTTATTACAATTTAAAAAAAAATTAATTTCCAGGGGGAGCTGAGTAATATTTTTTCTGGAAAGGGGGAGGTAGGCCAAATAAGTTTGGGAACCACTGCTCTAAAATAAGAGCAAATGGGCTAAAAGGTTAAATAGATTACAAAAACTCAACATCTTTTAAGTTGATTGTAAAGCTTATTGCCTACAAAATGGAGTTTTTCAATAAAACTGACATTTTCCAGAATGTAGGCAAAAGGGATATTAAAATATTTATTTAAAAAAATCATTGTCTCTTAACTTAAACAGGATACAGATTATAAACCAGTGCCACTGAAAACAGGAGAGGGTGAAGATTATATGCTGGCCTTAAAACAGGAGTTGAGAGAAACTGTGAAAAGAATGCCTTACTTTATAGAAACACCTGAAGAAAAGCAAGGTGCGTATGGGACTCCGATTTGTGGCTCAGTACGTACAGGTGAAACAATGCTTTGGCACAAGATATATGATCATTCAGTTCTGACTGATTCGATTTAGTCAGGAATGATCCTACCTTGAAAAAGTGTATTTATGTTGATTTAACAGAAAATATATATTAAAAATTTTGATACTTTATTTGTGGAATTACCTTTCACAATAGTTTTATGTATTCAGTAAAAATTATGAAAAACAAAACATACTTAAAAAGTGAAACTCATCTATAATGCTTATGTCTAGATTAAAATATTTTCTAGTACAGTCCAGAAATTTTCTTCTGTATGTGTATTCTTTGTTGTTGTTGTTAATCCTCACCCATTGTGTGATTTTTAGAGAGTGTGGAAGGGAAGGGGAGAGACAGAGAGAGAAACATCAGTGTGAGAGAGAGATGTAGATTGGTTGCTTCCCGCACACTCCCGGACTAGGGCGGGGGATCCAGCCTGCAACCCAGGGGTACATGCCTTTGACTGGACTCAAACACTAGACCGTTCAGTCCGAGGCCAACGCTCTAAATTCTGAACAAACCAGCTAGGGCTGCATGTGTATTCTTTTTATAAAATTGGATTCATGTTACTTTGTATCTCCCTGTTTTACTCAGTAGCATATTATTAGCATTTTTGCTTATCCTTAGTATTCTTAGAAAATATGATTTTTAATGACTACATGGTATTTCATTGTGGATATAACATTAATTGTAACTAATTTCCTACTGTTAGATTTAAGGTTGTTTTTAATTTTTTTTTCTCATATATAATGCCATGATTACTATCCTTATACATAAGTCTGTATGCAGGCCTCAGATTATTTCATATTTTGCTTAAAATTTTTAAACTCCTTAACTGTATTTTGGCTTATTATTTATACATCAGATATAATAGAATACAAAACACATATTCATTGGTTATGCTAAGGTCAGAGAGAAGATTGAGTTGGAGAACATTTGACAGTCTCAGACAGGAAGTGGGGAGTGCTTTTAGAAGCAGGGAACCCATTTCCGAGTGGTTATTTAGCAAAGTAGATCTATATTGATTTTCAGTTTCTGCCCTTGAATGGTGAAATTAGAGAGATCGATATCATTCTTGAGTTTTCAAAACAACATCATTAAAACATGAGAAATTCATATAGTATCATCTCATTCCATTAGTAATAAAAATGCATTCCATTTTCCCTCTCTCTGGAAGCTAGACTTGGCTAAGAGTCAAAAGGAAGTCTTGTCAAGTAATATTATATGTGCTTGTAATTATAAGAAGCCTTTTAGACAGGTTCATAGAATTTTTCAAACTATAACTGCTTGAAGTTACATAATGGTTTGATAAGAAAGATAATTTTACTTAAAAAATACTGAATTTTTTTACTTCAACATACTGAACTTTTTAACTTTCATGATTATGTTGCATACTTTTATTTCTTTGAATTAAAAATGAAATTAAAGCTCTCACATTAAAGATTTTAAAAAGTAACACTAACTGAACTAATAAATATTCATTCTTATTAGAAAAATAACACTGTATGGTATACTTTAATCTTTTCAAAAATTAGTCTTTTTTGCTCAGCCAGCATGGCTAAGTTGTTGAGCCTAGACCTATGGACCAGTAGGTCAGGGTTTGATCCCTGGTCAGGGCGCATGCCCAGGTTGCAGGCCTGATCCCCAGTAGGGGATGTGCAGGAGGCAACCAATCAATGATTCTCTCCTATCATTGATGTTTCTATCTCTTCCTCTCTGAAATCAATAAAAATATATATATTTTTAAAATTAGTCTTTTCTCTAGACTGCAAAACAAATTTATTTAACTAAATGTGCTTGGCATTAAAGCACATGTCTAATTTCAAAGTGTGTCATGTCATTAAAGTATTCATGCAAGTCTTTTAGACAGGCACATAAGAACATAATTTCGTTGCTGGTTTCTGGGAGTGGTTGGTTTGTACTTGGATAAAGATGCTCTTTATCTTTTTTCTTTTTTTTTTAAGAGACTCTTTATCTTTGATAACTGCAGAATAAAATATCTAAAAATATAGGAATCTTTTGCTTCTGTTATTTTTATTCAGGAGAAAATTTGTATAGGATTTTCTAAACTAATAAAGTACGTTCTCCTTGAAATCTTCATATTTAACTCTCTTTCCTGATGTAATCTGTTTTTTTAAAAATTATGATGGAAAATAATGGTTTTTAAAATATAAGCATACATATGTTTATATAGGTTAATATGGTATTATATATATATATGTATGTACACACACACACACATGCGCGTTTATATACTATACACACCATGAATGAAAAAGAATTGGCCAGACTGAATGGAAGTAAACTGTGAGAGGGAGATACATTCTAGATAATGTTACATCACTGCACCTTTACCAGCCTTCTGCCATCACTTGCCACCTATGTGCTTTAGGAAAGAGATACTTATGGACTAATGTAAAAAAACTAAATTACTAGGGACTAGAACAAACAAATAGGGCAGGATAGCACAAGAATTCCTGATAATCAAGTCGCTGGCAGCTTGGGGCACTGAGATTTGTCACAAAGAACTGGGGCACAGAATAAACATTTAACGTTGTGATGTCTTCAAGGTTTGTTTATGTTTTCAGGTAGAATTTTAGAAGTGATTGGTATTTTCTTTACAATGAAGTTTATTATTTTTATAATAAAGGAAAAACACCAATGAATTTTATTGAATTTTAGCTGCAAAGGTACATAGAGATCTGCTGGGGTCCAGCCCCAGCAGGTCCAGGGGTCCCCAAAGGTGTGGACGGAGTCGGCGAAGAAGGAATGACATGGAAACAGCATTCAGTTGATCAGCAGCCTTGCCAGGATCTCTAGCCACAATCTCCAGCCAAGTTCTGTGTCCATGTTCTCTTGCTAGGTTCTCCAGCCAGGTTCAGTCGCCAGGTTCTGTAGCCAGGTTCTTCAGCCAGGTTCTGTCTAGGTTCTCCAACCAAGTTCTGTAGCCAGGTTCTGTCCAGGATCTTGAAAATCTCTACCTGGGGAAACAACCTTTCTCGGAGAGGTGACCTTGGTTAAAACACATAGTGCCAAGAAGGTGAGCAAATATATTAAGAACAGTATGCCATATATGCCAGGTCCCTTGAAACAGCAAGGATGGACCGGCTCCCGGCAGAGATCATCTGGTCCAGTGGTTCTCAGCTCAGGTTCCTGAGCCATGGGATTTTTTTGTAGAAATAGGAGTGACAGAGGAGATGGTTCTGTAAGCCATTTCAGAACTTAAAGCCCAGTGGAAATTATGAATTTACCTGTGATTTGGCCATAATGTCTTGTACTGAATAAATGGAATTTGTTTTATTAACTCTTGATATATATACCATTAGGATCCATGTAACCCTATTTTAATTTTTGAGTTTCTTTTTGAGCAGTTCTTACTATATGTAATGATTGGTATTCGTAACTTTTATTTTTTTCATAGAGATCTTCAAAAGGACAAGACCGTTTACTTTAAAATTTTTCAAAAAACACCTTTTTAAAAATGTTATTTAAAACATTTATTGATTCATTAATAATATAATCAATACTATTAATTTATTAATATTGCATTTACAACCAACAACACTATAACTCATGCCTGAAGGAAGACATTTAATGCATGCATTTTCTTTGTAAGGCACATTACAGCCCCTGTTGACTATTATTTATTCTCTGTTTTTAAGAGTTTGGCTTCTTTAAATTTCACGCATAAGTGATACCATACAGTATTGGTCTTTTTCTGTCTGACTTATCTCACTTGGCACAGTGTCCTCAAGGTCTGTTCATCCATTCCTTCTTTCTTTTGGCTGAATTGTATATACGCCACATTGTCTTTAGCCATTTATCTGTTAATGGATAGTTAAGTTGAAAAACACCTCATTTCTTATTAGCATTACCATATCAGTTTATTTGACATTTTTATTAATCTAAAATACATTTGGGAATCTTAGTGATCTTATTTGTCCTGCCTTGAAACATTTTGGTGTTTCATCATTGTAGATATTATTTCATCATTCATTCATTACTCCGCACTATGCTGGGGAAAAAAAAGACTAAAATATTTAAAAAAATAGAAGAATGATAAAATTACATAGAAGGATTATGCAATATTGGAATAAATCATCAATCACTATTACATCACCCTTTAGTTTTCCTATTGTGTTGCCTAAAGTATTACATTAATTTTTAAGAAGATATAAAAGAAGTATGGAGAGACTCTTGTCTTTGTAGTTCTGTTTTGTTTTTGCTTTTATAGAATACAACTGAGAATTTAAATTTTTTCTGCTCATAATGGCAAAGAGAAGAAAATTGACAGGAAGGTGTCTCCCAATTACTAGACAAATCAGAAGATGAATGCAAAGAGATAGAAATAGCAGCTCTCTGGTTACTAATTATGAAATTGATTATATAAACAAAACTTCAGACTGTCTTCATTTGATAATATCCTAAGTGAATTTTCTCAAACAAGAATCAATGAATAAACAACATTTTTAAGGATTAAAAAGAAAAATGGTATTCTCTTGTAGTTAATCTTTGCATATTTTTTGTGAAAAGAATTTGGAACATCCTGTTTGCTAAAATGACATGTGACCATATATATATTTTTTATGATACTAATATATCAAATTTATTTGATGTAGTTTATAACTGGACAAATGCTGAAGGCAAAGACAAAGATGATTGAAAATAAATAGATTATGTAGAAATTAAACGATTTAGTAGTTTATGCTAATTGGTGATTATAAATTTAATAATGAAAATGTTTTTTTAATTATAGACCAAAGAAGATAGCTGGCTCATCCTCTCTTCAACAAAAATGTGAGCCATCAAAGTTTTTAAAGTACTGTATTTTGATGGTGCAAGTATAAGAAGAATTGCAAGTAATGATAAGCTAGAACCTTATTAGACATGCATTTGTAATTTGAATCATTTAGATAGTGCAAGTGTAAGAAGAATCAGAAGTAATAAATTAGTACTTACTAAAGATGCATTTCAAATCTGGAATCAGGATAGTATTTATGAAACACATGTATTCAGGGTTTGTGCATGACAAACACAGAATAGACAACTGATGCACAGTTAGCTGCACTCAAAGAACATTGCCATTTTAGGTAAATATACCTTCAAAACCGAAAAATAATGAAATATAGATTTGAGTTTACTTAATTTCTTATTAAAATTTCTGATAATTTTTATTCTTTTTAAATAACAGCTTTATTGAGATAAAATTCACTTTTTAAAGTATACAGTTCAGTGGCTTTTAGTGTAGTCACAGAATTGTGCAACCATACTACATTCTAATTTTTATAAGCTTTTTATCACTCAGAAAATAAACCCTATAATCATTCTCCATCCAACCCATGGCATCCACTAATCTGCTTGGTCTCTAGTGACTTGTCTGTTCTAGATATTTCATATAAATGAAACGATATGTTTCCTTTTGTGACTGGCTTTTTTCACTTAGCATGTTTTTAGGGTTTGTCCATGGTATAGAATGTATCAATGCTTCATTTTTTTTGTGGCTGAGTAATATTCTATTTTATGTATATACCACATTTTGTTTACCCTACATCAGTTGGCAGATAATGGGGTCAGCTCTACTTTGGGGCTGCTATGAGTAATGCTGCTATGAACATTCATGTATACATTCCTATTGGATATGTGGACATAAGTCATTTCTATTGGGTATGTATCTTGAGTCATATGTTAACTCTATATGTAACATTTTGAGGAACTTCCAAACTGTTTTTGCAAAATTTTGCACATTTTCCCATCACCAACAATGTATGAGATTTTCAGTTTCTCTACATCCTTGCCAGCACTTGTTAATTGTCTTTTTGGTTAAAATGGTATCTAATTGTGGTATTGATTTGAATTTCCCTAATGACAAATGATGTTCAATATCTTATCATGTGCTTTTTGTCCATGTATTATATCTGTAGTGAGATGGTATTCAAAATACTGGCCTCTTTTTATTTGGGACCCAGTACTTCCTCTTATTCTCCTGTAAATTATTTGAAAGTAATTTAAAAATATAAAAAATGGTTCATTGAAAGCAGGTAATAACTGTTTTTCTTAGTATACTGTGGGTTAAATTTTTTTTCAGAATATGGAATCTGTTTTGTAGAAATTATAAAATGTAAATGCCGGAAATCTCTCATTTGTGCCGGCTTCTCTTTATAGGTGTAAAACTTGAGAGCAAGATTGGTGTCAAACAGTTAAATACCTAGAAAAGCCTGGTCTCTTGGTCTCTGATCTGCCTTAGTTATTTTAGTCATCTTTGTCTAACACCATGGTCTTAGTATTATTTGGAAGCATTTTCTTAACATAGAAAAACATGTTACATCTTTGGGCCTTGATTTTGTGGCAAAGTGGACAGAGCAGAAGCAAGAGACACAGCTGTGACTCATCCATTTCTGGCAAACTCAGAAGATCCCTGCCGAGCTTTCAGTAGTTGGCACGAAGGCTTTCAGCTTGCTCATTCATGGCCCCATCGAGTCCAACCTCGCCTACTCCTACCCTTTTCCTCACTCTCCTCCCCAGTGGGTTGTGAAAAGTAGCTAATTGAGAAGCCTCACTGAATGTGTTGGAAGTGAGCAAACAGCCCTCCATCCCCACTGAGGCACTTAATACATCCCAGTTACACAAGGTTTACAGATTAGGACAGTGATGGCGAACCTATGACACACGTGTCAGAGGTGACACGCGAACTCATTTTTTTGGTTGATTTTTCTTTGCTAAATGGCATTTAAATATATAAAATAAATATCAAAAATATGTCTTTGTTTTACTATGGTTGCAAATATCAAAAAATTTCTATATGTGACACGGCACCGGAGTTAAGTTAGGGTTTTTCAAAATGCTGACACGCCGAGCTCAAAAGGTTCGCCATCACTGGATTAGGAGCTGGAGACCAGTGTCAGCAGAAGAAAATAGAAGATGCTGAGTAGACCTCCTTGCCCTTGTATGTAAGTGGCTTCCTGACAGTGTCTTTGGCTTTTGTGACTGTCCTCAGAGATGAGTCAGGTTGTCTGATTCTAAGAACTATAATTAAAGTTTAGGTTTCTGCTCACTTCCAGCCATTCATACGCAGCTGCTTCTTGACACTTACTTAAATACGCAGCACTCATTGAACTCTTCAGTATGTGTTCAGGGATACAGTATGTACAAATGTGGAAAACCTCCCTGAATGTGAAGTAAAAGATATCTGGAGTTTTCAGTTATTTTAAAGGAATGGCTTAAATCCAGGTTTATTCTTGATTTTTCTAATGAACGCTTTTTAATTTTTTTTCTAGATATTGAAAGATATAGTAAAAGATATATGAAGGTGTACAAAGAAGAGTGGATACCAGGTAATTATAAAACTGAGAATGTTAAAATAATAATTAATGGCAATTTTTCCTACACCATATTTTCGTAGGACAAATTTTGTATTTCACCATAGTAAAATAGAGTCTGTCTCTTTTCCACAATTATTAATGTATATCTTATAAAAACTAAGATGACAAGGTTTTTATACTGTAACAAGGAAGAGTTGAAGTATTTTGTGGAAGTTCCGAAAATATATATATACACACACACACACACACTAGGATTTGGCCGACCCATTTGGGTTTTCCATTTTAATTTGCCACAATCACAGTTTCAGTCTGTAGTACCAATAGTACTCAGTTCTGTGCTCCCGAGTGATTTGCTTTTGAAGAAAGCTTTTGATAGCTTTTGAAGAAAGAACAAATCTAGTGTTAAGGGTTTTTAAGCTAAGCTCATGCATCTTCCTTTCTTTCAAGCAGACATAGACTGTTTTTAGTTGTTAAGATTCCTTTTCGAAAGAACCATACTCAATAGGGTTTTTTTTCCCCACAACATTCATAAATTTGCATTGGATATAGACAAGGTGCAAGGGGCTGGAGAGATCTCATCCAGCTCATTTATGTTGCAGATTAAAAAAAAAAAAAAGTTGCCCTAACAGGTTTGGCTCGGTGGATAGAGCGTCGGCCTACAAACTGAAGGGTCCCAGGTTCGATTCTGGTCAAGGGCATGTACCTTGGTTGCAGGCACATCCCCAGTAGGGGATGTGCAGGAGATAGCTGATTGATGTTTCTCTCTCATCAGTGTTTCTAACTCTATCTCTCTACCTTCCTCTCTGTAAAAAAACAATAACATACATTAAAAAAAAAGTTGCCATTGAAATGAAGTGACCTGTCAGGGTGACTTGGATAGTGCTACTAGAACACAAGTTAGAGGCACAAGAAGGCCCTGGAACTTAGGAGGGAGAGGAGTAAAGGTAACGTGCCTGTGAAGAAGTGGAGGGGCCAGGAAAGACACAGAGCAAGAACACGCTTATGCTAGGTTTTTTTTTAAAGGGGATTCTATATATTGTTTTAAAAACTTTTTAATCAACAGTTTATCATGAATAACTTTTCATATCTAAAAAAACATATTTTATTGATTTTTTACAGAGAGGAAGGGAGAGAGATAGAGAGCTAGAAACATCGATGAGAGAGACATCGATCAGCTGCCTCCTACACATCTCCTACGGGGGATGTGCCCACAACCCAGGTACATGCCCTTGACCGGAATCGAACCTGGGACCTTTCAGTCCGCAGGCCGACGCTCTATCCACTGAGCCAAACCGGTTTCGGCAACTTTTCATATCTATTCATTCCCAAAATATGGAGAAAAATATTCTTCTACACTTGGCTTGTTATGAAAATTTCTGTCTTTAAAATCATTATTTATAAATAGCTGTTAAAAGACTGTAGGCATTTTATAGCACTATTTCAAAGCTATTTTAATGAACACTTTTTCGTTATGGGAGAAAATACATTATTGTGACATTTTGATACCCAGGCTAAATCTGTACAATCAGATATTAAGCAATTTTATTTTCATTGCTTGAGCAACTGTTGTATTTTTGAAATAATTATGTCCAGTACCACTAATTTGTAGAAGGAACTGCAATTTTTGTATTTCTTTTTTTGGAAATACAGATTGGAGAAGACTCCCAAGAGAGATGATGCCAAGGAAAAAATTCAAAAAAGGTACATTGACTAAAATAACAATCCAGGTAGGAAAAGGTTATTGCTTAAATTCTATCTAATGTGGAATGGTCAATCTGAAGCTACACTTAGTGTTCTGAATGCCTTTTCTTAAAATATATAGACATTTTGATTATTTTGCTAAAGCTCGTTTTGTTGATTTTTTGTTTTGTTTTATTTTCTTAAATTATGGAATTTGATGTGATAGGAAAGACTTTTCAATTATGTAGACAATTTTATTTGCATATTTGAAAATTTGTAAATGGTTATATTGCCTGATTTTTCATTTTTTAGTTGAAACATTTGGAATTGGTAAAATTTGGGGATTGGTAGAATAGAACTTTATGTACATAAAATACCAAAGTGAAAGTTTCTATTGTGTTGTGCTTTCATAATTCCACTGAGTAAATAATTGTTCAGTATCTACTTTTGCTGGACACTGCTAAGAGCAGTTAAATAGTGAGCGAAGTGGGAACAATCCTCCTAATGGAGCTTACATTAGTAACAACATTAAAAGCAAAAACCCGGGTGCCAACAGGAATCGGAAGTGAAGAATGCAAATCCCTGCGGTCTCCTAGCAACGCGAGGGGGAAGGGAGCAATTGACACAACCAGCTGACCATGGTGGAAGAAGACGCTGTGGGTGGGTCTGTGGAACCGACTGCCTGACCGGGAACCGAAGGCGAACAATCATCGTCAGAATGTCCGGCAAAGACCTAATTGAAATCTTTCCCTCGCGACCGGCGCAGACCATCATGAAGGCTCGATTAAAAGGAGCACAGACAGGTCGAAACCTCCTGAAGAAAAAATCTGATGCCCTAACTCTTCGATTTCGACAGATCCTAAAGAAGATCATAGAGACTAAATGTTGATGGGTGAAGTGATGAGAGAAGCTGCCTCTTCACTTGCTGAGGCCAAGTTATTGTTGAGTTTTAAGAGTTTTTGGTATATTTTTTGGGTAACAGTCTGTAGGAAAACACACTCCTGTTTTTTTCTCCTTTACTCTCATACTAATGCCCATCACACTATTTCTGACACCAGACGTATGGAGGTTTTTTTGTGTTTTTTTTTTTCACACCAAGCAAATCTCTGCAACATCAACTGGGTGTCTTACAATTCAGTTCAATTCTGACAGGAACTGGAGTTAGCACAGACCCCACAGGTTAAGGGCTCAGTCCCACGAGTCTGCTTCCCATTTCAGATGCCAATTATGAGTAGTAGGTTCCCAGGTTACCCAAACCTGTCTCTGACTTGGATACAAATCAGATGTCCCCATGACTACTCCTTGAATTGAATTTGATTTGCCAGAATAGCATATATGGCGCCAAAGATGGAAAAATAACTCATATTAATATTTAGAGGTTAAAACAGTCTTTTAACAAATTTTGGTAATTTGATACTTCTCCCCCATTTATACATATATGAATTAGGCATTATATAAAGTGAGAATAATAAGTAGGAAAAGATTCTGAGTGGACTTGAGCATATAGTTTACTTTCTTGGTTAAGAAATTAGTAATTTTAATAAGTTTATTTACCTGACCCTGTTCTCTAGTACCCATTTAGCAGACTTATGTGTTATGAAATTTAAATAAAATGATAAAAGAACCTTAAAGAAAAAGATTTAATGGTGTGAATAAATTACATTTTTAGCTAATGTTTATCTGGCATCAATATTATAATATGCTAGAGGCCCAGGGCACGAAATTTATGCACGGGTAGGGTCCCTAGGCTTGGCTTGTGATCAGGGCCCATTGGGGCCTTCTGGCTGCTGGCCAGGACCTTCCTTCTGCGCTGCCCCCTGGTGGCCAGTGCACATCTTAGTGAGTGATTGAACTCCCAGTGTCCCGGTTGAACTTCTAAGGGGACACTTTGCATATTAGCCTTTTATATATATAGATATTGAGATCTTGTTCATTTATGATACTATATATTTATGTGCTACAGTTCAAATTAAACAGACTTTGCCCACAAGGGGGACCGAGAAAATTACCCATTATTAAATCTAACCATTACTTTTGTTCCAGCAAAACCTCACTAATATATATGTTTGGGAATTCTGAGCTTGGTGATTACCCAAGGGGCAATTTGGAATGATGCAGTAAATTATAATTCATTAATTATGGATCATCCACCACAATCTAAAAATTTCTTCTATAGGTTAAATATTAATCTTTAACAAAATTACATCTTTCTGAGCCATATTTTCTTGTTGCCAAGTAATTTCTAGGTATTTAGCATGGTTTGGGGAAAGAAATTTAATACTTTTTTATTACAATGACAATTTTGTAGTATATTATGATGCTTTGGTAACTGATTGGCAGGACCTATGTGTGAAATAATTCCCTAGTCCCTGCAGTTTCAGAACAGTCTAAAATGCAATATTTTTGTATGGCTTAAAACAATGTCCCAAAGGCATTAACACATTTTATTTATATTGCTTTAAATTTTCAAATTCATATGATATATATGTTCACATTAACCATTTTAATCTTCATTCCAAATATAGTGCTATGTTGCACTTAATATAACCTCTTTCTCATCTCTTTAACCATTGGCAAATGCATATTTATTCTGCACTTGTTTTTTATTTTCAAAACTTGGTAAAATGGCCCTAGTTACAGTAAAATACACTGATCAGTGAACAGGAAGCCAGTGCAGATGATATATTTGTGAGAGCTTTTCACTGGTCCTGTAGTGACTCTATTGGAGATAATATTTTAGCAGTTTTAACCTGAGTGGCATTAATTGCCAGTACAGATTCTCAGTACTAGTAAAAAGATATCTAGTTTCAGTCTTAGAAAATATCCTATTAGGTTGATTATCATTTATTTATCATCATGGAAAATTGGTGAGGTGTGCTGATTTTTGTTGTTTATTCTTTAAGAAAATCAATTCAGTCTGCAAATTATGTGATTGCCTGGTATTGCATACCACTATGCTAGGCAGCATGTTAGAAGGCAAAGAAATGTAATATACCATTGCTGTTATTTACTAGTAAAAATGTGTTAACAGTGGTTTTACTTCAACAGGTCCCAAATCCAAAAAGGTGAACAATACTGGCAAAGACACTTCACTCACTAATACTGCAGATGTATTGAAAAAAATTGAGGTAAAGTTTCCTTCTTATTATAAGAGTGAACTGAAAAAATTGTCATACCACCTTTGCCTTCTTCAGCCTTTTCACCTTTTCTGACATTTTAATAACACGTGGAATTGACAGATCCGAGCCCAGCACACAGGTAACCGGGGAGGTTTGACATCGTTGGCTGGGAGATAAGGGACACACACCGTTCTCTCCTTCTCTACCACCCGCCTGTCAACCTGCCTTGCCTTCTGTCACCTGCCTCCTTTTCCACTCTGTTCCTATGTTTCCCTTGCATTTGAATTATGCATGGGGAAAAAACGAGTTACATACCTAAAACGTATTTCTTTTGAAAACCTTTCAGTTTTTCTCCTATTGTTGTATGTGTACTTTTTAAATATTTTCTAATGTCTCATGTTAATTGTAGAAGATTATATTGAGGGAAAACCATAACTTATTTTTATATTTCAAAACCAAAAAGATGTAAAATTCAGAAGTTTAATTAACTGAAAATTCCCCCACCCATTCCGTTCCCCTCCTGTAGACAACCAATGTTACAAGTTTCTTATATATCCTTCCAGAAATATTTTATGCATAGCAAACACAATTTTTTTCTTTAATTACAAAAGATAGCATATACACTCTTGTATTTTCATTTTATCACTTAAAATATCTTCAAGATAGTTCCAGGTCAGCCTGTATAGACTAGGCTCTTTTTTTTTTTTTTTGGCTGCACTATAAGAATGAACCATAATTTTTTTAAATTAATACATTACTAATGGACATTATGTTTCATGTAGTGTTTCACTACTAGAAACAATGCTGAATTCATGTCAAGTATGTCATTTCACATGTGTAGGGTCGATTTCTAGAAGTGGATTTGTTGGGATGGTTGTTACATGTATTGTATAATATGGATTAATATTAACAGATCACTGTCCATGAAGGGCATACCAATTTATTGTATCATGCAGGTAATACCTTGCATTGATGGTGATGATGAGGATGATGATAATGATAACCACCAGCACTTATTCAAAACTTATTATTTACCAGGCTCTTTGATGATTTACATTTATTATGTCCTTAAGACTTCATTACAATAGGCAATATTTTGTTCCTTACAGATGAGATGGGTGTTATTATCCCTTCCTTACTTTAAAACTTTTACTTGACTGGCCAAGTTGGCCAGCTACATGGTAACAGAAACTCATATTTTTGTTATTTTATTTTGACCAGTGCTAAAACTGGAGAAAACATGGCTGAAAATAAAACCAAGAGGAATAATGTTGGAGGAATAACATTAACTGTCAGGTTTAAGTGTAGTGGACTTATCGATGGGGTTGCAGACCTACCCAACTTGTATTGATTGAACACAGATTCTGACTTTTCATAAGGCTTCCTGGAAAGAAGTTGCTAAGTTGGCATGTGCTATGAGAAGATTGATTTGGACCTCTGACTGCGGTTTCTCATCAGATCAGATCGTTTTCTTTGTCCCTGCAATGTTTTCCAGTACAAACATTGTTAAAACTGGAGTTTCAAATCTAGAAACTCCAATGAGCAGTTTTAATAGAGCAAAATTAACTTCCAGGTGACTCTGTTACTGTTCATTTCTTCAACAAAAGCAGTTTCAAGTTTTATTGTAATAAAACTTCTGTGGATGGAGAGGGAGTGACATACACTCAGATTTCATACTTAACGTGTGAATCACTAGACACCAGTAAACTAACCTTTAGCTTCCTAATTTGCATGACACACAAAAAGAACTATAATAGGGTGGCCATTTAATATTTAAACTAGAAGAACTGTTTCCTACCTGTAAATTAATTGTTTTTAAAGTGTTTTCTCATTATATTATTCACATTATTCTTAAAACAAATATGTAAAGTAATAGGCTAAATAGTTAAATCTCATAGAAACTATCTCATGGAAACTATTACATAGATGAACCAAAACTAGTAGCTTAATGCAAAAAAAATGAAATTCCATAAATCTGCTATTTGTTAACTGATCAGGTATTTTATGGGTTTGATTTAGGTCTATGTCATAGAAATAAAGTTGAAGCTATTTATTTAAAGGTATTTGAGCCCGGCCTGTGTTGCTCAGTGGTTGAGTGTTGTTGACCCATGAACCAGGAGATCAGAGTTTGATTCCCGGTCTGGGCACATGCCAGGTTTGCGGGTTCAATCCCCAGTAGTGGGTGTGCAGAAGGTAGCCAATCAATGATTCTCTCTCATCATTGATGTTTCTATTTCTTTCTCCCTCTCCTTTCCTCTCTCTGAAGTCAATGGAAACATTTTTTTTAAAAAAAATTAAAGGTGTTTGAAGTGGCAATATAATGGCAATAAAGTATAGAATGAATTTTATATTTCTTTATAACTAGTTTAAATAATTTCCATGATAATTATGAAATAATAGCTAATAGCATGATTTTTCAAATGCAGTGCATACCTTGCACATAGTTAAATACAATTCCCCTATACCTACACAAATTTATGGTTTCATTAAAACAGAAAATAAAAAAATCCATATATTAATTAATATTAACATAGCATCATTATATATGTGTGTATATATATATATTTTGTCCATTGAGGCATTGTATTTGCATGTATGTATTACATTCCTAGAAAAACAATTCCAGGACTTTCCCTCCTCTATGTTTTTGCCTTGCTTCTTCATGGTCCGTGATGCCCACTGAGGTTGTCAGTACAATGAAAGCAAACTGATGGAATGGAAGCAGATTGTTCTGCCATTTTTCTAGATCTTTTGAGTTGCACATCAAATCTGGGGCTGATTACTCCACACTTGTTCAACCTGCCTGTGAGTTTTACAACATATTTCCCAGCGCTGTGGTCATCAATAATTTCAAATTTGCCGATGTGACCATGCTTCATCATCACAGTTAGAAACCAGATGACTTTGGAGCATGGCCTAATAAGAACCTGGAGTTTGCCTTCTTTTTGGCATTGTTCATAGTCCTGAGAGCATCAGCCAGGACGTTCATGTACACCATTATGGTGGCATGGAAAGATGGCAGAAAGAGATGTGTACGTGTACGTGTGTGTGTGTGTGTGTGTGTGTGTGTGTGTTTATAGACACTTTAAAATATCTATAATTATGGTTTTGTTTACTTGCAGTTTTCCAAAGGATTGCCACTTATAAAACATGCACACATTCTATTGTAATAATAAGTTACATAAGGCAAGATGGATTAGTATGAAAATAAGAGGTCTTTTTTGTTCGGTCTGAGTGGGGTGAAGTGACAGGAAAGTAGAGTTTGAATTTTGATGGGAAACTGAGTTTATCTGATGTAGTTTTTTTGTTGCCTTTTATTTCCTTAAATTCAAATTTGAATAATAAATAAATTTCTAAAAATAAATATTTATGAACCAATAAAGGAATAATTAAGTTATAGTTGGTCCAAATGTAAAATGTGTTTTTATCTCTATATCTACTCTACTAAGCAAATATCTTATAATAGGATGGAGTATTTGCAAGTTTATGAATTAGTGTTATGATTACTATTTAAGATTATTCACATCTTAGCTAAAGTGATCTAATGCCTTAATTATGAATATTAATATGTGAAATTATTGCTGTGCTCACCTCCTAGAAAGTTTGTGAAGTCCTATCACTTGTGCATATTAAGTGTAGAACATTTTAGTGATTGAATAGTGACAGTAATGAAGACAGCTCATTTTTTATAAAATAGAAGAATATTGTTGGTATTCATAAAAGAATATGGGAATTTGTTAAAGTTATGAGATGATAGCATAGTGATTTTAACAGAGTGGATAAGTAGAATCATCAGGCAAAGTTTTCTAACTCTGTCTCTCTCTTTTGCCTCCTCTCGCAGAGTTGTTAATAAGTGCTAATGTTGACCTGAGTTGAGTTAATCTTTCTTTTTTCTAATTAAGAAGCAAAATTCCTGGAAAATGGGAAGTAAATAATGAAGAAAAGAAATAAAAAGACATAGATAATCTACAAATAGGATAACTCACCCCAAAATGACTTGATATTGTTTTAAATAATTTCACTTATAAACTAAAACATAGACATTTGGAAATAGTACCATTACATTCTCTTTTCTCCTTCTATGTTAGAAGGAAACAAAAGAACATTCTGAAAGTTCTCCATAAACTGAGTCAATTCAATATTTTTTTGACTGAGGTGTGATAAAAATCACAAAAATAAAGCACTGTGTATAGAGCTGATCCCCTAGCATCCCAATTATGAAGTAATGAAAGTAATGAAATAAAAGAAAACTCTAGTGTCCAATGAGTTCCTCCTTTCTTTCCTTTCTTGGGTTAACTCACAATTTCCTATATGATGCCCAGGAGGTGTTGGTAAGGGAGAATTAGAATAAGGTGATAGGTGACAGTGTTCTCTTGAGGCTGAGCAGAGATGTCAAAGTCTGTTGGGTTACCAAAAAAAGTTAATTAAGTTCATTTATAACAGGAATTGGAAAAAAGAGGTGATGGTGAAAAATCAGATGAGGAAAATGAAGAAAAAGAAGGAAGCAAGGAGAAAAGTAAGGAAGATGATGATGAGGAGGAAGATGATGCTGCAGAACAAGAGGAATATGATGAAGAAGAGCAAGAAGAGGTAATGGTCTGTTTTGTAAGAATAACAAAGTAATTAAGATTAAGAATTATCCAATAAGGAATCAGATAAATGGAATAGATGAAAATGAGCACCAAGTTGATGGGAACCAGGGACATATTTTTATCACTGGCATCAATTCCTTTCTATCAAGAGAATTTTATAGCATTGTACATGGTATGTTTCAAAATAAGCTGGAATCATTCCAGATATTTTTGAGCAGGGTAACTGTTGGTCATGCCTCGTCGGGACTTGTGGAGACCTCATGCAGTAACCTTACGCTGAGAGTTTTTTTACCTTTCCTATGATCTTTGTCTTCACTCCATTTCAACTTCTTACACCACACTGAGTCTTCCCCTGAAACTCTTCCAACTATGAAATCTTTATTACTTGCTTTAATTATTTTACATTAAATTTCATATTCTTTTGAAATTTATATTTGTATAAAAGGAGAGATACGGATCTGTTTTTACCTGTTTCCAGATAGCTTGCCAGCTGGTAACCTCATTTATGAAATCATTTGCTTTCTTCATTGATTTAAAATTCTCCTTTTTCAACTGTTAGAGTCCCACACCTACTTAGAGATATTTCTGGACTCTATTCCATTGTTCTATTTCTGAACCATCGTTGTTCTAATGACTAAAATCTTCTAAATTTTTATGGTATGTTACCCTTTTTTAGGATTTTTCTGAGTATTGTTTGTTTATTCTTCCAGGTAAATTTTAACTCTAAACATTTTTAAATTAAACATATCACATTTGTCTCCAGTTTTCTTTCCAGATCATTCACTTTATTTCTGAACTGACATGAGTAAAACTACCAAACCCTCTGATCCTCTATCTCTACTTTATTGGTTCCCTGTCTTTATTTCCTTCCCTAAGGAGCCCTTGCTCATCCTTCAACTTCTTTGTTGCTATTGCTCTTATCCCTTGGTCTCCCAGAACATACTCAAGACCAAAGCAAACTTGATCAATTACAAATTTCCTTCCAAATCTGCCTGTTGAGCTTTTCTGAAGAATCATAAAAACTGATGCCCCCTGCGGACACATCCCCAGTGGGAGGTGTGCAGGAGGCAGCTGATCAGTGTTTCTCTCTCATCGATGTTTCTGGCTCTCTGTCCCTCTCCCTTCCTCTCTGTAAAAAATCAATAAAATATATTTAAAACAAACAAACAAACAAACAAAAAAAAACTGATGCCCCTAAAAAAAAAAAAAACACTAGTCCCGTTTGGCTGGCTAACACATTTTCTGTTTCCCTTGTCAAGTCAGCTCTCCATTGCAAGTATTTCAGATCATCTTTCTTCTTAATCCCTCTTCTTGACTACCTTTTCTTTCACTTTTAGCAGATACAACATCCACCTTCATACAGAAAATAAAATCATCAAGAGAAAACTCTTTTATTTCATTTCCTCTGTCTTCGAACTATCTTCCCTCCTCCTTCTCTTTTTTATCAACGGAAAAAGAAATGTCCTTCATCCTGTTTAGAGCTAATTGTCCTGCCCTTTATTGAGACCTTATGCTTTATGTCATTTCCCTTTCCATATTTTCAATCTCTCAGCCATGCCATGCCTCCGCCATACATTGGCTCAGGCTTCAGCCAGTTTCCAAACATTGTTGGATTACTTGGCACTAGAGAAGCCAAGCCAACATCCTGGAAATGGTAAAAGTCTTAGCCAGATACAGAAACTTACATTATTTAGGAAAGACAGAGTAATGAAATATATATCTGAATAATACAAGTTAACTTTCTTCCATTGTTTATATAAACCCTATATAATAAAAGGGTAACATGCAAATTGACCCTAAAGGCGGAACAACTGGTCGCTATGATGTGAACTGACCACCCGGGGGCAGATGCTCAACGCAGGACCTGCCCGCTGGTGGTCAGTGCGCTCCCACAGGGGCAGCTCCGCTCAGCCACAAGCCCGGCTGATGGCTGCAAGCACAGCAGCGGTGGCGGAAGCCTCTCCCGCCTCTTCCACAGCGCTAAGGATGTCTGACTGATGGCTTAGGCCTGCTCCCTAGGGAAGTGGGCCTAAGCTGGCAGGTGGACATCCCCCGAGGGGTCCCGGACTGTGAGAGGGCACAGGCTGGGCTGAGGGACACCCCCCCCCGAGTGCATGAATTTTTGTGCACTGGGTCTCTAGTTTATATATAAAAGTCCACCATGGAGATACTAAATAAGATCGTATCCAGGAGACTTTCTTTTGGGAATAGTCCCTATTTCTTACTGTCCTAATTCCTACTGTAGACAGTAGAGATGTGGACATTAATTTTTTATTCTGGTTGATTTCAATCATGTGCAAAAATCTAGTGACTTAAAATAACAGCCCAACTTTAGCAATGATCACTGTATTGCTGATCTTTCAGTCATTCACACACCAAGTTCATTCCTGTCCCCCCACTTCAAAACCCATCTGCCTTGGATTATTATAAAGCAAATCGTAGGCATTGTATCATTTGAACCATAAATATTTCAGTATGTACTCAAAAATAAGAACTTTTTAACAATCTTATAGTATCAGTATTATTCCTAACGCATGAAATATAATTCCTTAATATCAAATATTAAGCCATTGTTCAAATTTTTTAGATTGTCTCAAAAAATTGTTCCAATCAAAATCCATATACTGTCCACACATTGCAGTTGGTTAGTAATTTTCTTAAATTTCTTTTAATCTTTACATTTAAAAGTGTTCTATAATATAGTCATGCGTCACTTTTATATTCAGAAATAAAATATTATTTTTTTATTGTTCACAGTATTATAGATGTCTCCCATTTTCTCTCTTTTTGCCTCCCTCCACCCAACCCCGCCCCACCCCAGGCCTTCCCCATGCTATTGTCTGTTTCCATGGATTATGCATGTATGTTTTTTGGTTAATCTCTTCCCATCCCTCACACACTCCCAGCCACCACTGAGATCTGTTATTCTGTTCCATGCATCCATACCTCTGGAACTATTTTGTTCCTTAGTTTATTTTGTTCATTAGATTCCACATATAAGTGAGACCATGTTGTATTTGTGTTTTTCTAACTAGCTTAGCATAATCATCTCCAGGTCCATCCATGCTGTCTCAAAAGATAAGGACTCCTTCTTTTTTACAGCTGCATAGTATTCCATTGTGTAAATCTAACACATTTCTTTTTTTCCCCCACTCATTTACTGATGGGCACTTGGCTGTTTCCAAAGCTGAGCTATTGTAAATAATGCTGCTATGCACATAGGTGCATATATTCTTTCTGATTGGTTTCAGGATTCTTAGGATATATTCCCAGAAGTGGGATTATTGGGTCAAATGGCAGTTCCATTTTTAAGTTTTTGAGGAACTGCCATACTGTATTCCACAGTGGCTGTACCAGTCTGCATTCCCAACAGCAGTGTCCTAGAGTTTTCTCCACATCCTCACCAGCACTTGTTTGTTGAGAATTTTTGAATTTTTGATAGAAAGCATAGAGTTATCATAAGTCACTTATACAGGTAATAATCTTGGCCATAAGAAGTGGAATATTCCCGGGGGCTATAATCCCTCTTGACCTAATGGAAATTGAGTTGCTGTAGATGGAATGTATTACAGCATCCTCTAGTTTTGATTTGGTTTCTTGAGGCCTTTTTGATAGGAAGCAAAACTCCCTCTGCTTTTGCTCAGTTGTGCATTGTGACTGAAAACCTTAGTTCTAGTGTAGTCTAAGGTTAATGTAAAAATTGGCTGTTTCTTAAGTGTCTGTGCATTTGTTTTAAATAAGTGCTCAGTGTTTTAGCTAACCATATATCATCCCACTGGGGAGTAATGAATTAAATGTGTCATCCTACTAAAGTGTAATAGGCATCCCTTCATGTTCTCTTAGTTGATGCCTGAGGTGGTGGTCTTAAAGAAAGCAGCACAGGTAGATGCAAGTGAAAACTAATGTGTTTTCTAAGCAGATGACATAGCAGAGATTCCTTTTAAGCCTGATGTATTTTATTACCTAAATTTGGTATTTGTAAACTTAAAGGGACAGCCTACGTATGTTTCTTAATAATAATGTTACTACTCATTCATTTTAATGTTTACTGAGGAATCTATTGTTTCACTTAGGAAAATGACTACATTAATTCATACTTTGACAACGGAGATGATTTTATCGTAGACAGTGATGACAACATGGATGAAGCAACCTATTAGCTATGAAGTTTCCCAAAAAATATTTCTATGATACAGCTTCTGAGCATTTGGACAGATTTATTTCCTTATTTCTGATAAGGAATGAGTAAGTATTTTTGTTTCTGTTTTATTGACAATATTTGTTACCAAAATATTCAGTACCATTTTGAGTTTACACACTAGTTACTTTACCAATTAGTCTCTGACACTATGACATTCCTTCTCAAGCACCTCTTTATCCCTCTTACGTATTCAAGTGAAAATTTTATTTTTGGTATTATTTGGATTAGAATGTGCCTAAAGAGCTTTTGCATCTTTTAATCTATATATTCATACTTGAAAAAATTATTTTTATTTAACTGCTTTCTGATCTTTTATAAAACTATTACTTGCCATCATAATGGGTTTCTGTAACCTGAAAGTTGATTTAATATTGCACATGGAGCACTTTAAAAACAAAATACTTGAAATTAATTTTACTTTTTACTTTTACATGGTATGTTCTATGCTACTATATGATGACTCCATAAACCTATCTGAGTTCTTAAAATTGCATATGAGATTAGAAGTTTGTGATAAAATATATACACAGAGAAAAATCAGAGCTATATAAATTTTATAGCTTACATCTCAGCCAGTGCAAAGACTTGGGAGGAATATTAAGTATACTTGAATTTGGTAACTTCATACCACACAATATGTGAAATAATCATCATCTCACTGTAATAACTTTGATATTTCAAATAATTGGGCTTATGAAAAATTAGACATTTAAATTTGTACTTTACAAAAGTGTGGGGTAAATTCTAGTCACATAAATCTCACTGCAGAATGCATGTGTGCAACCTGCGAGGCATGATGGCCTCTTATATTTCAAAGGACTTTATACCCATCCAATTGGTTTATATAACAGTGCAGAATAAAACTCAGGTCACTTTGAAATTAAGATTAGTCTTTTGTCTTAATTAAAAACTAGCTCCCCTGACTTTTTATAGTGAGAATGGGGGGAATACCTAAAAACCTTAGCTTCTAAAGACTCACAAATGCCAAAGATTTTGAAGGGAAGTCATATTATATATTTCAAAAATTATTTATTAGTATTACCTACCAAAAGAAATGTTTATTTTTACCTTTTGGGAAGATATCACCCATTACCCTCTAACCTGAGACTCAAAATCCTGGACTCTTATTTCTACCCTTACCATTAAACTCAACCTTGAAATTGAGCTTGATTTTCTGTAAACAGTTTTCTATAAGAACTGCTTAAAGACCAACCAGACCTTACCATATGTACTCATTCTCTTAGTATCTAGAAATAATCTCTTCTTTATTTAAATGTGTCTGGCCCTCTAAAAAATTATAGCTTGTAAAGTGATTGAAAACACTGTTTTGAGAAACAAACATGTTTTCCTCACAAGATAGATTGTAATCTGACTGGATTCCCATCTTGTATTCTGGTGGGGAAAATGTATATTGTCTTGTGCCATTTTGTAAAATGGCTTTCTCAGGAAAAAGATCACTTTCCATTTTAATACTTCCTCAGATAATTCAAGATGGGTGAGGACCATTATTAGTCCAGTGCTTATGTTATTCATATGTGAAGTATTTCTTTAAAGAAACTTATAAAAAATGTTAAAGATTTTAAATGGAAAACATGAATAAGTCTACTTTAAAGCAGCAATTGATTGTACTTAGAGTAGAAACCTCACTTAAAGTTTTAGTTGTAATGGGCAGTCATTTAGGATTAATAATTAACATAGGTATTTTATTTTCTCACTTCCTTAGTATCTTAATATCATTTAATTTATAAAGCTTATCTCTGTGCTTCTGTTTGCTTGCTGTATTGTAAATCTACAGATAACTGCTTGAATAGGGCAGATACACCAAAGATACAGGGATTTTTCTCCCCAGTTTTCATCTGTCTTCAACATTCTAGTCCTGAAGGTGGTAGGACAGCCCTTTGGGCAGGGGTTTGCTTCAGGAAGCCCCAGTCATCTCCCCAAGTGCATTGTCTGTCTCCTTTGGAAAAGAAGAGAACAGGCAGAATGTTTGCAGGTTCCTTTGCCAGCATGAACTTTGTTTTTATAGCTTAAAATCTGACTGTGAAGTTATTCCATAGGAAGGTAAACTTTAATGCAGAGATAGCATCTTATATATAAAAAAGTACTTGTTGGTGAAGTGTCTTTAAAATTGCTAACAAGCAAATATTGTTTTGTTGCTTTAGTGCTTATTTTTCTGTATTTGTTTACATGTTAAATTCATACAAAACAAAATTGTGTCCTGTTTTATTTTGAACCTACTTAAATATATTTGATAGGGAAAGCTAATTTATTAATACAGATTTTATCTGGTAAAATAACTCAGGGATGCCAGTATCAAATATTCTTGCACAAATCAACAGGAAACTCAAGGTAATTACAGTCATGATAACAAACTAAGAGATTTGGCAGCCATTGTAATATTATTGTGATCATTGGCTTCATGGACTGATGAACACTGCATACAAGAGAATGCTAACAAATTCAGAGGATATAACCTTCCTTCCCCACTACCTCAAATGTAGTGTCTGTGGCTTACCCTTAATATGGGTAGAAGTCCTGGAGTTAATGAAAACATTTTTTTTATTAAAAAAAGATGTAATGCCCTAACCGGTTTGGCTCAGTGGATAGAGCGTCGGCCTGCGGACTCAGGGGTCCCGGTTCAATTCCGGTCAGGGGCATGTGCCTTGGTTGCCGGCACATCCCCAGTGGGGAGTGTGCAGGAGGTGGCTGATCGATGTTTCTCTCTCACCGATGTTTCTAACTCTCTATCCCTTTCCCTTCCTCTCTGTAAAAAATCAGTAAAATATATTTTAAAAAAAAGATGTAGTTTTAAGAGCAAGATGATAGTAAAAATGCTAAAAGGATTACATAAATTCCTCCATTAAATAAAAACTCCAAAGAACTTCAATTCTTTTGCTAATGTAGGTAATTTTTAAAAATTAAGTATAAAGGTTTTTTGTTTCATAATTAAATTTACACATAAGTAGAACACATTATTATATGACTGAGCTACAACTCACTAATAAGTTCTGAACCCTGCTTTATGAGGTCTTCTTCCATGAGTTCCAAGATCCCTCAAAGAACATTCACCTGAAATTCGTTTTCATTTTATTTACATCCTATAAGTAATCCAGTGAATTTTCAGTATAACAAGGGAGGAATTTGAATTAGTAAACCTTTGGCAATTCGCTCTGTCTTACATAGTGTTTTGGGGTTTTGTTTTTAATTGATTTCAGAGAAAGGGAGAGGGAGAAACATCAATGAGAATCACCGTTTTGCCTGCCTCCTGTACAACCCCTACTAGGGATTAAGGCTGCAACCCAGGCATGTGCCCTGACCTCCTGATTCGTGGGTTGACACTCAACCACCAAGTCACACCGGCCAGGATACATAGTGCATGGTGTCTTTATATCAACTAGTTTGAAAGAAGAGAAAAGGTTTGCTTTATTCAATTAAATTCACCAGCTTCCATTTTAGATTGAATAATAAAATAGAAACTTTATTTTTAAGATCTTTTTAAAATATGAAAAGGGGCAAAAAGTTTTAAAAACCAGTTTTACAAATGTACATACTAATAATGCTCTACAATTCCATTTTGCATTTGTATAAAATACATTATACAAAAGATTTATAGTGTATGCATATATAAAGAATTAAATATTGCATTCAGAGATTTCTATGATCTAACAGTGCAATATGCACATACTTAGAAAATACTAACTTCCTGAGCAACATTGTTGTAATTGCAAATAATGATTCCCATTACAAAGCGCCATTTAAATACTTCTAAAAACTCCATCTTAACCCTATAGCGCTTTGAATCCTTGCTTCATATTTCTAAAACTCCAGCAGTATCCTTCATATTCCCAAGTAGGTAATTTTAGAAGTAGATACCTTTAAAAAGAATTGTTAAGCAATGGACTATTATGGTTCACTGAAAGAACTCTTCAGGCCACTGAACAGCAAGTAGGGTCCAGAAAATGAAAAAGCTTTAGAAAACAAAAAGTCCTCTGGATAAATTAATTTAACATTGCAGTCTTCTAATTCTTACTGTGTCCAGCAGACTCTATTATCAAATTTTCTTAAACAGCATTCGTTAGTTCAAAACAACCTTAACCATTGTTACCAACTTAAAAAAGAAAACCTCTCCTCCTAGAGTTTTCTTCACTTGTAACTCTCATTTTTTAAATGAACCAAATGCAATGATTCACATAGTTGTTACTTTCATATATATATATACATATATATATTCTAATGTGAAACCTCAAAGTAAATTCAAATAAGGGTTTCAACAGTTAAAATTCACAATTTTTCTTATTTTATTAAGTTTTACAAAGTAATCTGCATTTGCTACAAGTTTTGAGGTATATTAGTACTTTATAAAAGCTAAATTATTCTCTACTAAATGTTTAGGAATTTTTTCTTTTAAAAATGACACAATTAGAATCTATAATTCTATATATAACAGAATTATAATTCAAATTATATTCAATTAAAAATATATAATGTAGGTATAATGTGTGCTTCAAGGAATAGGACACTAATAAATACACAGTACACTTCACTACTTTAAAAATAACTTATCCTGGGAATCAGACCTCTCTATCACAATCTCAAAGTACCACTAGTAAAAAGGAATCACTGACTTTCCTTAATTTCATCACTTCGATGTAAACAAAGTTCTTCAAAGGACATCTAATCCACTCTACCTTAAAATATTGGTATTTTCTTCCCTAAAACTTGATTTTTCAGCAGGCTTAATAAATACAATGTAAACTGACCAAGTTAACATTGAGCATAAATTACAAAGATCACACTCCTCAAGATGCCAAGGCACATTAAAATAATTTTTTACATTTTAAACTACAGAGTTACTCGAATCAATTTGCTATAATTTCCACATTAACACTTTTTGGTCATTATCTAAGGTCCTCAAACATATGCAAAGGCTTTGTTACTTCCCGTCCTTGTCCTGTCTTTTTACACTTTGCTGCTGAAGATACATGAAATCCTATTTACCACATATGCTTATTCACACCACTTTGTATCAAGATTAGAGTTTGAAATACAAAGTGGTCAAAAAGCTGAAACATTAAAATTAGGAAATAATGCCCAGAAAATGAGGTGGTATTACAGATCTTAAGGTACATACTTTATTATACATAAAACAGGCAATCCAGATTCTACCAACTCTTGCTTCTAATGAATCATTTTAGTTACATTTTTAAAAAACACATACTTTAAAAAACTAT